AGAGTTACAGCACGCGTAATTAAACGCGTTCGCGCGACGAGGACGCAAGCCACAGCGCGCCCGAGGCCGACAAAAATGTCAGTAACCATCATCGACGCCTTTGCCTCAGCGTCTGCGCCCGCGAGTTCGCGATGCTGGATGGGGCGGAGCTGTTTCATATATCCGTCTTGATCAAGTGTAACATTGCCGTCGCCGTCCCCGCGCGCCTCGCGGCGCAGTTGGTGCATGCGCGGTTGCTGAGTTTACATGTCCCAACAGTATCCTCAGCGCACTTGGCGCGCCTGTCGACGGTGTCCTCAGTGCCGGCCATGTTTATGTCAGCAACATGCTGGGCTGTGAGAAGGTCAGAACTTGCCTCGAACTCCTCGTCGTAGGACGTGGGCTCGAGACCGAACGCACCCGTGGTCTTTCTGAGCTTCAGTGGAAAGGCCCTTGGTGCATCCTTGGTGCCGGTGCCTGGTTTGAGGCGCTGCAAGCAGTGTCTCGACCATCGTGATGCTCGAATCGTGGGGGGGGGGGTCCGAGCGCAGATGCGGGCCCAGGTGGCAGCGCACAGCGCGCCGCGCGTTCCTTTTCACCGGTTGCTCCAGCAAGTTCTTGATAGGCGAGCCCCTTTCCAGGAAAACCACGTCGATGTCGAAGGGGGCAATGATCCACTGCTTCCCGCGCGCTGCCGCGCTCGCGAATAGACGCTGACTCGGCCGCCGCGCCGCCCCTGGGAACGTCTCCGCATCGCAGGCTTCGAGGTCCATGAAATCCCCAAGTACCGAGCGTAACCTGATGGCACGTTCCATACCGCCCTTCTCGTTCTTGACGATCTTCAATTTATATGCGCATTTCGAAACCATGGTGTTTGACGCTTTGGATATCTTGCATGCTGCGGTACTTATTGTCAAACAATTTCTCGAGTTCAATATAAGAAGCCATCGACACCTCGAGTGGATTCGCCCGGGCACCAGCCATCGCGAGAAGGTCGCCCTCCTTGACGACTACAGCTCGTTCAGCGACAGCGGTCGCACATACTCGCATAGCGGTCGCGCGGCCGAAGTCAAATCTTCTGCGTTGCTGTTCGGGCAGGACTACTTTTGACATGTCTGCCGTGAAGCAGAGTTCTACACATCGCCCGTGCTCGTCAGAGTGCAACCCATAGCTGTGGTCATCGTCCGTGGAGCACAAAGGGACGTGCTATGTCTCCGTTGTGTCTATGTCCTGTCAGTTGCCCCACGCGGGCAGGTGCCCCCCCCCCCCCCCTGTTTTCAGCTACTGCGACCAGCGCGCCGTTGTCAGTGATCAGCTGTGTGGGTACAGTGTAGAGCTCGTCTATGGGAGTTGCCTCCAGTATAATTCCCTTTTTCGTCTTGTAGTTCTGCGTGCCACGCTTCCATAATATGGGCCTCGAGGTCCGGCTCCGATTCCTCCAGGATCGTGGGACGCCGTCCGTCATCCTGCGGTGGCTCGACTCCTGGGGCCCACCTGGCGCGGCTGCCTTGCACTGGTACGTCGGCCAGCTCTTCGAGCATCGTCATGTCCTGGCCAAAGCCCGCTTGAGGTTTTGGCGGATTTCAAGCAATGGGTGATCCTAGCATGCACTGAGCCAGTTACACCGCGTATGTTTAGGGCAGCGCCTTCGGCATCGTAGTCGTGGAAGCCTGGGTTCACGTCGTTGTCGCCATGCGCCAATGTGCAACTCTGAGCATAAGTCACCGCCGGTAGCTTGTGAACTCTTTGCCAGCCTGACGCAGAGCACGCTCTCGAAACGAGAGAAGTTTCCGATGAGGTACTGAAAAGCTACATGTACCTTAAGAGAGTCGGCTTGCACTCGTTATCTGGGGCACCCCCTTATTGATCGGGGGGCGTCCGAATGTCGCGGCAGGTCGCCCCGCAGGCAGACAGGCTACGAAGGCGAATGCATTCCGCAACGCTGCGTTGCCCACACCAATCTCTCGAGCGATCAAAGCTTGGTGGTTGCCCACTCCCATGATGACCTGGCCCTTGTCGGGGTCATTCCGCGCGACCGGGAAAGGTCCATCCCAGCCACCCCAGTCGTCTTTTGCAATCGTGGGACGATGATAGTCAACCAAATATTCCCCGTGATCGTAATGCTGACCACTGATAGTAGTCTTGGTCCACAGTGCACGGTTCGTCTTTGCTACTGCAGTGGCTTGAGTAATAGCTTCAATGCTTACCCGACTGACTCGAGAGTGGTCTGATTTTTACGTTTGCTGTTCGTGATCCAGGACAGGCAAGTCGGGTAGCATCGCCGGCTGTCGGCCGAACAGTGCGTTGCGTGGAGATACCTCACTGTAGGAGGTGAACGCACTGGCGGCAAACAAGGCTTCATGAATTAGGCGGGTGAACACAATATATATATATATATCTGTTAAGTTCGATCAGCGCCCATGACGTGAAGTAGGTCTCGTAGTGTGCCACTTCTGGCTTCAATGGTCCTGGCGCGTTGTCCACGCGCGCGTATCCTCAGCTCAGTGCATCTGGCCTCAACGACTGCCTTTGCGGCGTCGTCATTGAGTGCACCTTCCCCGTCGGAGTGAAGTACTTTGACTTTGGCAGGTCCGACTTGCATCCATCACTGATGGTGTGCGTCTAAGATGCTGGTCATGGTTTTGTCTGGTATCCAGATTCCAGCACCGCATCGAATGCAGCGATTGAGGAAATATGTTGCAATGTGCAGTGGACGGCATGACAATGTAGCCTGGCGTCTCCCAAACCCTGCGCCCCCTGCATGCGTCACAGACGCCTTTCCATCAACTTTAGCCTAACGCTGTCAAGAGGAGCCTTTGTTAAGAGGGGCCTCATCTTGGGCTCTTCGGCGTGGGACCACCGTAAGTGTAATTTTTTTTTTGCAACTCGCGCGCTACCGCGCTTGGGTCAAGGCTGCGCAGATTCTGTGAGCGACTCTGCACATGGAACCTTGACCAGTCTTAAAGCCTTGGACGAGCAGCAGGGTCAACTATGATGTCGCGGCTGCTGGCGCCTGCTGTTGGTCCAGCTCTGGAACCAGGCGCCGCGCAGTCTGCTTGGCAGCTGGTGCCTCGGAAGCAGCTGCCGCCGCAAGTGGTTGTGCGTCGGAAGCAGCTGCCTCCGCAAGTGGTGGGGCTGCCGGGTCGGCACGGGCCGGGGTCTCCTGTCCGTGTTTGTCAGGCAGCTTGCACGGGTTAACAAATATGCATTTGGCAGGCGTACGAAGGTGACCAGGTCCAGCCTGACCGCAGTTGTTCTTGCAGCCTTGGCTTTTCCAGTAGTGATCCTCTTTGTCGTGCCACCCACAGTATTTAGGGTCTCTGTCGTGCGATGGGGAACGCACGTTGACGTTATCCGCGCATGCTGGATATTCCCATCCTCCTGATGGTGGTCGCATGATCGAGCCGCCAAGATGTCGAGAGATACTTGAATCACCCAAATCGAATCGGCGTGCGTCCGTGACAAGAACAGATGACGCATGAGGACGATCATGGAAAGGATCACGATTTACTGAGAACATGTCGTCTGCAATTCGCACTGCTTCAACGAAGAGCATCTTCGGGGTATACTGGGCTGCCCTGACCAGTTCCCTGCTGCAGACCGAGGCATGTTGACGATGGCCCGTGCACCGTCTGTCCCCGAAGGGTGTTAGCAATAGGCGGCGGTTGGCCATTATCTCAATAAGTTCCCGCATGAATGCACCATGGGAGCCACGTAGACTCGCGACGCATTGGTCCATGCAGATTTTGCGAGTGCACTCGCGTTTGGCCAATGTCGTCCACGGTGGTATTTCATCCACCCAAGTACCCACTGGTGGTTCTCGCAGGTAGAACCGTCGGAGGTCGTCTTGGCGTACGGATGGCCTCCATGACGGCCCTGGAGCACCCCAAGAAGGCCCCCAGTCGGCCCAGAGAGGCCCCAAAGACAGCTCCCGACGGCGTCCGATGGGCCAGCCGCCCAGCAAGACGGCCCAAGATGACTTTCAGATGGCCCAAAACGGCCCAAGAGGGCTCCAAGATAGCCCAAGAAGCGCTCAAGACGGCCCAAGAGGGCCCACAGAGGGGCCCACCAAGAGGGCCTCCAAATCCGCCCAAGGGCCCAAGATGCCTCCAAGTCCGCAAGAGGACCCCCAAGAGGCCTCCGAGACGGCCCAAGAGGTCTCCAACAGGGCCTCCAGGAAGGCCCGAAGAGGCCAAACTCATTGATTTGTCGTAGGTGTTTTAATGATTTTGGCATTTGTTTCATTCGGCATTCCGACGGCCCGAGACAGCCCAATAGCCCCCAAGATCGCCCAAGAGGCCTCCAGGATTGCCCCAGAACGGCCCAAGAGGCCCCGAGGGCCCCCAGACGGCCCGAGAGGCCTCCAAGATACTTAAGATGGCCTCCGAGACGGCCCTGGAACACCCAAGGGCCCCAGAAGGGTTTCAAGTCGGCCCAGAGAGGCCCCCAAGACGGCCTCCGACGGCGTCAGATGGGCCAGGAATGCCCTGAGACAGCAAAAACCCCCGAGAAGCCCCCTGAGGCCCCCAGGAGGCCCAAGGAGGCCCCCCAAATGCCTCCAAGAGGCTCCCAGGAAGCTCCCAGGAGGCCCCAAGAGTGCCCACAGAGGCTCCCAAGATGCCCCAGCCTGCTCCTCCTCCTCCTCCTCCTCCTCCTCCTCCTCCTCCTCCTCCTCCTCTTGATCTTCCCCGCCATTCTCCTCCAAGTGTTCCCCGAAGGGTTTCCACAACGGTTTGGGGAACACCTGGTCCGATAGCTTGGCAGAGCTCTTACCACAACGCTCGGCCACATGGGCGATTTCAAAAGGCAGGGGGCGGCGGTGATTCGCCGTATGCGTCTTCGATAACTCCAACGTGCCAATATGCGCTAATGATTCCGATCCGCCCCCGCATGGTGTTCCCAGATGCGCAAAGGCAGCGCCAAGGCAGCGCCGAGACGCGCATATCTACACATACACACGCCAAAGCCCACGCAGTTGCGGACGAGAGTGAGGGGGCGGAGAAATCATCGGCCCTAAGGACCTTGCGGCTGAAGAAAAGCACCCTGGTGATGGGGTCCTTCGACCCCATCCCGTAGTGGAACTTCGCCACCTGGCAGCGCAGGTCCTCGACCGCCACCTCGCGGGGGTGCGCAGGGCACTCGCCATCGCTCGGACGCCGCTTCCCCGTGCATGTTTCGGCATCGTGCGTGTACTTTTTCGCAAGATGGCCCGAACTGCTCCTCGAGTGGGGAAACCAACATGTATCGATACAGCTACTCCCTAGACCTCGCCTGGGGCGCGTTCTGACCACGATTTCGAAGCGAATCCAGCGGTGGCGACGAGGGCCTCCCAACAAGCCGACAGACGGGAAAGGATGAAGGGTAGCGGTATCGGCATCTTTTCCTCCTCCAGTCGAGGGTCCTCGCCGAGAAGACATACACACGTCCCAGCGATGCGAGGGGTGTGGAGGGGCGCCCCCTGGGCCCCAGAGGCTCTCCGGCAGAGAGGGGAGGACGAAGAGCAGAAGGAGCAGGAGAAGAGCGGCAGCAGGGAGGGATGGGCGGCAGGAGGAGGAGGACGAGGAAGAGAGAGGATGACAAAGCGGGCGAAGAGAAACAGAGGAGGAGGAAGACGAGGAGGAGGAGGAGGACGAGGAAGAGGAGGAAGAGTGGAGGAAGAGAAAGAGGACGAGGAGGAAGCGGAAGAGGCAGAGGGCGAGAGATGGAGGGGGAGGGAGAGAGGCAGGGGCAGCGAGGCAGGGCGAGAACGGGGCAGGGGCAGCGAGGCAGGACGATGGAGGGGAGGGGGGGCGGTGAGCAGAAGAGAGTGGACGAGGATGTCGACGAGGGTGGAGACGGACATCGGAGGTTGGGGGGAGAGATCGGCATGGAACGGATGACCACGTGAGTTTTGTTTTCTTCGGCGTTTCGACATTGGGCGGAAAGAGGGGGGGATGGGGAGGTGTCTGGCTCCAGACCTCTGGTTAGTGCGACTGTTTGCAAGAGTGCGGCCTCTGGGGGAGATTTTATCCGCTCGAAACAGGTGTCAAAAAACAGCCAAGATCCACTCCATGGGGTGTGGGGGGGGGCGCACTGATCGGCAAACCAAATAATAAAAAACAATAAAAAATACCACCGCGAAACCGGTTTCGTTCTCGGGTTCGTGCCTCGCGTGCGGGGCGAGGCGACGCTACGCGGGCGGGAGAACGGCATGACCCCGCTGTGGCTAGGGCGGGACGAGAGCCCTTGACCGATCCGCCCCTGGGTGGGCGGGCGGTTCCGGGCGGTGTCCCGCCGCAGTGTCCCGTCGGTGTTCCGTCGGTGTCTGGTCAATGTCCCGTCGGTGTCCCGTCGGTGTCCCGTAGGTGTCCTGTTGGTGTCCCGTCGGTGTCCCGTCGGTGTCCCGTCGGTATTCCGTCGCGGTGTTCCGTCGCGGTGTTCCGTCGGTGTCCCGTGGTGAGATCGACAGTGAGATCGATAGTGCTATCGATAGTGAGACCGATCGTGAGATCGATGATAAGATAAGAGCGATCGTGAAATCGATAGTGAGATGACTTGACAAATCGAGAGTGAGATCGATAGTGAGACCTATTGGTGCCCCCACGGTGTCCCGTGGTGTCCCGCCGGTGTCCCGCCGGTGTCTCGTCGGTGTCCATCGGGTGTCCCGTCGGTGTCTCGTGGTGTCTCCAGGTGGAATCGATGGTGAGATCGGTAGTGAGACCAATACTGAGATCGATAGTGAGAGTGGTGTTCCGTCGGTGTCCCAGTGGGTGCCCTGATGGTATCCTGGTGCTGCTTCGATGGTGTCTCGATCGTGTCCTGGTGGTGTCCAGAGGGAGACTGTGGGGGGGTCGCAGAGAACCCGGTATGCCCGCCACACAATTTTCAATGTCAGCAAAACCGGCCAACGGATCGACTGTGATACCCGTCGATGTCCTGTGGTGTGTCCTGGTGAGATGGATGGTGAGATCGGTAGTGAGATGGATAGTGGGCGTGGTGCTCCGATGGTGTCCCGATTGGTGCCCCGAGGGGTGTGGTGGTGGTGTGCTGGTGGTGTTTCGATGGTGTCCCGATGGTCTCCTGGTGGTGTCCATAGGGACTTGAGGGGGCCGCAGAGAATCGAGCAGTGGCGAAGCGTACTGGCTGGCCCAGAGGTTCACCAAATAATGATCGAAAAATATTTTGTTGTCTGCACGAAATGATATGAGAACATGTATGGCTGAAACGGCCTTGGTTTAACATATCGTCTCTATGTTATGAGAACATTGCTTTGCTGGCCAACGATAGGGGGGGACAGGCATAGGTGCATCGACCTGGAATCGGCCATGCATCGCCGATAGATCGGCGATAGACCCCCGATAGCGAATCCGCACCTCCCTGGGCGGGGTGGGGTTATCGGGCCCATATAGGCAATCAATGGGCGATTGGAGGTCGATGCATCCCCCCTATGCGTATCCCCCCTATCGTTGTCCCCTGTGTTTTTGTGATTGGAACATGTTCCCTACCTAGGCTCTGCCAAGAAGAGTTCTTACCCTGTAAGCTTAAGGGGCCGGGCAGTGGGGCTCGCCCCAGGCGGTTCCCGCAGGATCCGCCCCGCGGTTCCCCCAGTGACGCTCCCTCAGCTTAGCGTTGCTTATCTCATCTTAACTTGGCTTAGCATAACGCAGCGCTGCATTAGCATAGCATAGCATAGCATAGCATAGCATAGCCGAGCATAACATAGCATAGCATAGCATAGCGCAGCAGAGCATAGCATGGCATGGCATGGCATAGCATAGCGCAGCTTAGCATACCATAGCATACCATGACTTAGCTTAGCATAACATAGCATAACGCAGCATATCATATCGTATCAAAGCGAATCATATCATAGCATAGCATAGCATAGCATAGCGCAGCATAGCATGGTATAGCATAGCATAGCAACGAATGCTGCTTTCCTAGGGGCTCCAACTTCTAGGTAGGGTCGCACTGGGGTAATTTGTTATTAGAACATTGTTAGACGAGCGCGTTCCACTACTCGCAAAGTAACTACTCGCAAATGGCTTGGATCCGCCGCGGGGAATCTACGACAAATTACATCAAATCCGACATGTGTTTTTTTCGGACGTATGCGAGTAGGCACTTTGCGAGTAGCAGAACGCACTCGGTGAAATTTGGGTTCCCAAAACATGTTGTGGTAGGTCGATGGGAATGTCGGGACGCTCGGTCCCTGCTCGAGAGAAGCCGGTACGCCACACGGTTCCCAGTGTCGGCACCACAGGCCACGGGACCGCCCGTGTCCCGCGAACGCCCCGAGGCCAAAGAGATGTCACTTCCCGGCCACCTGTGGCCGCGAGCGTCCCGAGGCCAAATACATGACACCACGAGCGCGGGGATGACTTACCCTCGCTTAGCGGGGTTGCGGGGTTATGATTGGGGGGGTCAACATATGAGACCCCCCCCCGCACCCGCTAACAGTGAGGGGGACGACGAGGAGGAGGACCTGGGGGGGGGCCAGGACAAGGAGGGGGGGGATCAGGAGGAGGAGAAAGAAGATGGACGATGATGATGATGCTGATGATGATGATGATGGTGATGATGACGATGGCGATGACGACGATGACGATGACGACGCTGCTGATGATGATGACGACGATGATGATGACGATGATGATGATGATGATGATGATGGTGATGATGATGATGATGATGATGATGGTGACAATGATGATATATGTATATATATATATATATGTATATATGTATATTGGTGATGATGATGATGATGACGACTACCAGGATGATTACTATATCTATGATTGTACGAACTACGACGGATTCCCATTACAAGCTTCGCCCCATAGGGTCCCGCCCTATATGGGCCCGCCCAATAGATTCCCAGAGGTCCCCGCCCCACAGGGTCCCGCCTGATAGGGTTCCGCCCCATAGGGTCCCACATCGTAGGGTCCCGCCTTATGCAGTGCCCTGCGGGAACCCAGAGATCCTTATTCCGAAGGGGCAGACGGAGCGGGCGGAGCCTCAGATATTTTGGGAAACCAACGGGAATCGGCAGCCCCCCGTCATTGTAATCACCATCATCGTCGTGATCGTTGTCGTTATCATCTGCATCGCAGTCGATGTTAATCATCGCACCGCCATCGTCACCATCGTTATCGTCATCACCATTGTCATTACCATCACAACATCATCATCATCATCATCATCATCATCATCATCATGATCGTCATCGAAGTCATCATGATCATCATGATCCGCACCATGATCAGCATCATGATCCTCGTCGTCATCATCATCAGCATCATCATCGTCATAAGCATCATCATCATGACCATAATCATCATCGTCATCGTCATCGCCATCGTCATAATCGTCATCATCGTCATGTTTATCGTCAGCATCTTCAGCATACCCATTTTCATCGTACTCGTCATCTTCGTCGTACGCGGCGTCACCGTGATGGGCCCCAGCGGGCCCTAGGGGGCACGTTCGGAGAGTTGCCGATTCCCGTCGGTTTCTGAAGGCTCTGTTTGCTGCGCCCGCCTCCGAGCTCCGACGAAAGGAGTTCCCGCAGCGCGGGGCGTCATCACTGTCACAGACGAGATGCGCCCTGAGAGCCTAAGAAAGCCTAGGTGCGGGAGAGGCTCGGCACTGCTCAATCAGAAGCAATGTCAGACGGGGGGGCATCCTGCGCATCGTCGCCGTCGCGAACCGCCTGGATATCGAGAGCCCCCTGGATGGCATCGTTGTTGTCGGTTCTGAGCGTTTTCTCGATGGCCTTCCCAATCTGTGTCAAACCAGTCCGCAACTTCTTCACCCTCTTGCGCAAACTGGCGTTGTGGACCGCGAGCACCTTATTTTTCTGGATCTGCTCCAGGAAGCGTGCCTTCAGCGAATCATACGCGAACGTGCGAATGGCATGGCGCGCAGCTGCTGGCCTCCGTTTGGGGGCCATGGACCCGAGCAACTTAGTGTCGGAGGCCTTCGGGCACTGATTGCAACAACACCTCGCGCCAAAACGGCGAGGACGGAGGAGGACGGAGGAGGAGGAGGAGGAGGAGGAGGAGGAGGAGGAGGAGGAGGAGGAGGAGGACGGGGTCGTTTTAGTTTGCCCCCCATCAGTTTTCTCGTCCTCCTC